CCCCCCCCCCCCCCCCCCGCGCCCCGAGCGCCGTGAAGCCTCGACCCTGAAGCACCCGATTCCACGAGGTGCTGAGCTTAAAATCACGCCTGAATCTTCCTCCGTAGCTTTGCCACGGTTGTCATGGTGTCGACGACGATGCCTCTCTCGAATCGTACGAGTAAGCCCCAATGCACAAGTTGCCGCGTCAGGAGCTGCAAGAAAAACTGTGGCAAAGCGAGCCAGTGAGAAGTCAGGTTGCTCTTAGTGGATTCTGCGCTGAGTCCAATAGTCACCCTGACCATCTTTTCAACTGCCTCAGCTTCGCAGCTTCAGCACAAGGGAGACACACCAGGAGCCCACCTGAGCCGAGCTGCTGGGGCATCTGAAAGCGCCGTGCGTCGCGGTTCCAGCGACCGGGCCTTACCGCTGCGTCAGCATGCACTCACAGCATCGGCACCAGAATTCTTGAGCTTTCTGCAGCTGTGCCCTGCCGAAAGCTCTTGCGGCCGCTCATCGAGGGCCCTAGCAGCGCAGGCATTCACAATGCCAAGTTGTAAGGATCAAGCTCGGCCACTTTGCTCCGCTTCTGCCTGCAGCGGCACCTTTCCCGCAGTCACACGCTGCCATGTCCAGGCTTGCGTCGCCGTGCCTGGCCAGCAGCTGTCTCGGATCGTTTTGGCAAGTTGTTGACCTTTCCCGCTTCTTGATGGTTTATAACGAAGATCTCGTTGCTTGCCCAGGAGCTGCCATGTGTTGCTACGCTTTCGCATAGCATCCATCATGGACCTTCAGGGTCGAGCCGACTATTATGATTTTTCATGGGAGAGCAATTCCAGCTACTGGTACAGTATGTTCTGATGAGCCGTGCGATGCCGAACATTGCAAGATTTGCACCTCCCCGCAGGCCTGGAGTGCTGCACGTGGCTTCGCCACGAGCCAGCTAAGAGGGCTGCGGCCAAGACAAAGATGCTTTCTCTTCGTTGGTTTAAGCCCACATCTCTCCATCTCTATGAATTCAATACACGCATCTGCAGTAAATGTCGCGACAACTGTCACAGGCCGCAAAGGCAACATGTACATCAATCGTCAAGGCAGCCACCAGCAGCTTCCATCGCCACTGCCACCTGACCGACATAAGCTTCGAGCACAGTGCCTGGCCTCGCCTTAACAGCCAAAGAGCAGCAAGCATGAGATCTGTGGCAGCCGCTTCTCGGATGATTTTCGTCTTTCCAGAGGAGCTGTGGTCTCACTCTGTACGCCGGGGCTCTCCGCCCAGCCGGCGCGGTGCCCTGGCACTGGCAGCCAAGGATTGCTCTGCCGCCGCGAAAGCGTCCTCGATTTCGGGGTCCAGGCCACTGGCCTCTCGAGCCATCCGCGCGTGGAGCTCTCGGGCTTGGCGCCTCCTTGCGACCGCGCGATCCACAAATACAGCTGCATTCGGCACAGGAGCTCCACGTGCCCGTGCCTCTGCCAGTGTCCGGGAGATGTCAGCCAACAGCTCTTCATCTCCATCCCCTTCCGGTTCCTCTCCTTCCTCACGTCTAGACAAATAAGCCCGCACTTGCCGGGCCATGTCAGCAGCCTCACGATCCCATCTAGCTTGCATTTCTGCAGCTGTCTCACCAGCAGGTGGCCCACGTCGCAAGCGTGCTATCTCCTGCATTGCTGCGTTCATTGCCTGCTGGGGGGGAACCTCCCGCAAAACCTGCTCCAACGGCTCCAGCGGCAACCCCAGAGTCCGTGCCATTGTCCGAATTTGCTCCAACTCGCCTTGGGAATTAGCGCCCCACGCCATGGGCATGGGTGAGCCGACGACCTCCGGAACTGTGGTCGGCTGTACGGTGTCATCGCTGGCCGCATCTTTCTCGTTGTGACGACGTGCCACTCTCAGCACTGAGCCAGCAGCAACGCCACAACTTCCCAGCGAGGCACCATCTTTGAGAATCTTCCCTTTGTGCAGGAGGTGCACTTCGTCCGAATTTGTGGCGAATTCAGAGCTGGCGAATTGACGAAGTTGCTCCACTGTGTCTGTTTCACCGAACTGGTTGGAACGAACTTCCACACCGCTCGGACCTTTGAAACAGATCTCGAAAGTCGCCTTCCCAGATCCGCTCGCTCCCGAATATCCGGAGCTCTGGTTCTCTCTTGGCGGGGCGACGGGTCTGCTCATGCCTTTGGCAACATGCAGAGTATCGCCTTCTTGGATGCCACAACTGGCCAACGTGTCCTCATCCTTGAGGACCTTGCCCTTGTAGATGACCTGGAAGCAGGATCCATGCATGCATGACCAAGCACTCCGATGGACATGGCATGGCCGGACTGGCTCCAATTAACACCATAACCTTTGCTTAGCTGCTGCATTTGCACCCATCGCAAACTATGTCTGCGACTGCTGCTATTCTGCTATTGCAGAGGCACAACAAATCTCGCCGGCCTTCATGACTTCTGGATCCATGTCGCAGCCCGCGGTGGCCGCAATCTTCACATCCTGTACCGTCGCCCCTGTCGCAGCCACCTCAATAGGGAAATCGATCCCGCCGGCGGCTTTGATCTTCAGCATTTGTGCCATGGGCCAGGGATGGCCGGGGCGGCCAGGCTACAACCTGCCGAGAACATCAGAGAACTCGGCTTCGAAGCAGAAACTGCGGGTTCGCATCCGGCATACTGAACGGCCTGAACCTGCGACATCGTGCGACTGTCACTTGCCACTTGCATCGCCTTGCCAGGCGACTTGGCGAGATCACCGCACGGTGTTTACATTGCTTTGGGCCACAACAGGAATATGCACGGTTGCTGTATCTTGCAGCATCTTAGCATGACGCATCACTCCTTCATGTTTGACATTGCAGAATTAGAACCGCTTTCCCGTCCATGAGACCGAGATATCGCTGGCGCATCGACAAGTGCAAATGCAATCTTTCTCCTCCACACTTCTTCACCATTTCTCGGGCTTCTCCCAGACAGATTCGCCAGTCTCGGAGTTCCAGTAGTAGTCGAGCCTGGGGCGCGCTGGCAAAATCCGTCAGTTCATAATGTCTCGGATGCCCGGACACTAGCCGTCACTAGCCCTTAATTCAACATCTCAAGCAGAAGTGCGACGGAGTTGCTGGTACTCGGTGGAGTGGTGAACTTCCCAGGGGTGGGGAATTGTCTCGGCTTTCTTGACTGCAGTTGGAGGAGCAACGATCCTCAAGGCAACAAGACTGCAGATGCCAGCTTCACAGGGGCTGTGAAAAGGAAGGTGAAGGTCCTAGCCTGCACACTTCATTTAAAGATGTTACGAGGACTGCAGGCAACAGAGCAGCCTTGTCAGGGAGGCTCAGCTCTTTCCGAGTGCTCAGGTTCTCATCATGCAACACGCGATTCACTGCCCTATGCTTAGCGATCCTTCCCGTTGGCGTTCGTGATCGGTCTGAGCTAGCAATCGCATTTGATTGGCGGGCTGCTGGCTTGTTTTCGCCTGCCAGGGGCGCAGCATTCAGAATGACAATTTAGTGCCCAGTAGCTATTACTCTCTCGCAACTCGGACTCCGCCAGATCAGTTCTCTCGCCCGCCAGTAGCCATGAAGGAACGCAATTCATGTGTTCAGCTCACTCGCCTTGCTGTGGGGTCTTCTTTGGCCACTCCTCCTTCTGCCAGCCGCTGCCGCTGCCGCTGCCGCTGCCGCTGCCACTCTGCCAGCTGTTGTCCTTCCAACCACTGGCATCATTGCTCCACCAGCCGCTATTGCCACTCCAGCCGTTGCCACTCCAGCTGCCGCTGCCGCCGCTGCCACTCCAACTGCTGCTGTTCGAGCCACCGCTTTGCCAACTGCCGCTCTGCCAGCTGCTCTGTTGCCCAGGCCAGGTCTGAGCCTGAAGAGCGCAGGACGGCACACGAGCGCAAGAGACCAGCGAAAGGACAGCCCATGCCTCCATCCTACTCACAGGAGCGCTGCTCTGGACCATCGTCGCCCGCCTGAAACTCCGGCTGTCTATATTTCATGTGATGGCTAATCTTCTGGCGGCTAGTGGCGGCCGCTGCATCCTCCAGGCGCTGATGCTAGCCAAGGGGCGGTCTGAGCGGAGCTGCTGGCATCGGCGCAGGGCTTCGTCCTGCACGCTTCGTAGCTTCTGCTTGGCTGCTAGGACGGGCATGGGCATGGGCTTCCATGGAATCTCATCAGTATCAGATGCTGTGCGCACCGCCTCAATGTGAAAGACTTGCGATCCCTGGGCAAGAGCCTGCCTCTGCTTCAGCGATTTAGCGGAACACAGCGCTTTACGCGGCGTCCTGCCGGCGCAGCCAGGGCAGCAATCCCAGCAAGAGCAGCTGCCAGAGGGGGTCGTCCTCCTAACATACAAGGAGCAAGAACAACTCGGTGGTCAGCCATACAGCGATGGAGATTGCAACAAGAACAGCAGTCGAGAGGAGTCTCAGAAAAAAACACTTCAAAGAAGATGGCCGATGTTTCTTTTTTGACTTCTTGGCCCTAGATTCCGAGGCACGTCTATGCACGTGTCCTGTCATGGCGGGAGTCCAGCCACAGCCTTGCCATCATGGGCTTGGCCGGTTAGCATCGAGATCGCTCCGTTCCCGGCCTCCCCATCCCTTGCCTTTGCCCTTCTGCCACATCCATGCGGCTTGGGGGCTCCACGCCTGCCATGGCTAATAATCATTCGAGCATCAGCTTTAAAGCCGCGAAGTCCTGGCTCTGCTGCTGCTGCTGCTGGTTGTGGTCCCAAACCTTCCCAGGCAAGACACTGTGCCTTCGTGGCTTCTACCGGAAAGTCCCACCTGCTTCGGTGGAGGGGCATTCTCTGGAGCAGGAGGCGGCCCGGTGCGCTGGCCGTAAGTTGAGTTCAGGACCTCAGAAGCCGGTCATCACAGCGCAGGAGGAGCTACGCACGGACTCTGCCTTCACCAGGAGATTCACTTTCGGCCCTTGGAGGGACACAGTCCGGGCACCTCCGACCTACGCAGGCATTGGCGGACGTCTTATCCAGGGATGCCGAAACCGAAACATTGACGAACAGAACTGGCACCAGGCACGGGTGCCGGCAACATTTTGGTGCTGCTACGGGAAACCGAAAGACTCGATCAGCCCAACACATCCTGTCACACCTATTTGTTCCCTGCTCACATCGTCACCTAGTCAGCTGAGCCAGCCTTGGTAAACGGCTGTATGAGGCCAGCATCAACCTGAGGCACTGAAGCTTGCAAAAGCGTGGATAGGCGGCATGACCAACAGGAGGATTTCGTGCCTACTGCATGGTGCGTCTCCGTTTTAATTCAGTTAATGCTTGCGCGCTCGGGACGGGAAGCCGTTTGGAAGGCCATGCACTGTCAGCTCAGCACTCATGCTTGGAGTAGTCAATCCATCTGTCGTAAGAATTGAAAACTCAGGAACGGATCGAATTTTCCGGTTCAGGATATCTGGTGTATGCGCTCACCAGTTGGCACACCTTCTCTACCAAGGCCCCATGTCCTGCTTCCTTGCAACCTCTTGCTGCAGACTGGATGCCTTCTCTCGTATGACCGCCTCTGCATCGTCAGTGTGCACACAGTGACGAGGGAACAATGCTTAACATTTGTGCGCACTGCCTCGTCGATGTAGTTGTTCTCCATCCGCAGGTAAAGCGGGTAGCCCGTCGTTGCGGATGGAGCCACGGGTCGAGGGAACAGATTGGTTTCCTAAACAGCTCACGATTGATAGCACGCATGCACTCAGCTGGCGACATATGGCTGCATGCACGCCCGCATGCTCTGCTGCATAACCAAGAGTCCTCCAGAGCTCTGCAGAATTCTCCAAAACCCTCTGCAGTGATAGCACCTTATGAAGGCACAGTCGCTACTTAGGATATAGCTGTTTTAATTCAATATGAAGAGCGGCGATCTCAGCACGCTCCACGGAGCGTAGGTTGTTCACGGAATCCGGGAAAGCAAGCATGAATGTGTACTGGCTCAGTCTAGAAGCAATCCGATAAATGCATTTCGCTTGGAGCCCAGTCAGCGCCCAGGCCGCGCAGATAGTCACCTCAGCCCAGCCTACAGGCCACCTTAAGGCAATGCGCCAGGAGCATCGGCTCGTTTCACTTACTTGTTGAGGTCCAAGAGCAGGACCAAGTCGCTTATCACTTTGAGCGCTTCATCGGTCAGCGTTGCACAACCAAACATACGGAAGCGCAATACTCGCACACCCGCGGTGCCCAGGAGGAGGAAAAGAGACTGAAACCTCGATCAATGCAAATACAAATCAATTCAATTATTTCAATTATTTCGAGCCCCGCATAACTGAAATAAGCAGAACCGATAAAGTTCCTAAACTGTCTCGGCTGGTAGCTGATCAAGTGTGAGCTTGTTCTGCGAAACGTCCAAATCCGCTATGACGAACTCGGGGTTGGACTGGAAATGCTTCCTTACATTGCACTCAGTAAAATCAGCAAGCCGCCGCGCGGACCCTCGAGTCGCCAAAGCCTCAGCCTCATAAAAGTTCATGGCCTTTGCCAACAAGAGCTCACTCTTTCTTTCTTTCTTTCGCCGGGGCTAGGGTGAAGGGGAAGAAGCGCCCCCGACTGTTGCGGGGCGAAGAATGACACGTGCTCTCTCCGCAAGGCTGGGATCACGGTGGAGTAAGTTCTGACTCTCTCTCTCTCGCTCTCTCTCGGCTTGACTTGGAGTGCCCACCCAGCCAAGGCTCTCCATCCGAGTTGTCAAATCCTTAGACATGTTCCGAGCTTCGAACATCGAGTTCCATGAGGTTCGGCTTCGTGTTACTGACCAGTGGCTGCAAACGACTGTCGTGCAGGAGGAAAGTCACCAACAAATTAACAGTTGAGGCTCTCCAAGCATCGAGTCAAAGGCCGCAGGGTTCTGCAGCCGTTGTCTCCTCAGAGGTCTTCAACTTGTGGGACTCACTTTCGCATCTTGTCGACTGCTACTACGACTGTCTTTGTCCAACATGGAATTTCGCACGATCCAGCGACACGGTCTTTTTTCCCTCTCTGCTTTTTCCCTCTCTGCAGTGGCTCCAAGTTGGCAGATAGACAACTTTCGGCCGCGGGGTGTTGCAAAAGCACGCCATCCTCAAAGCTTTGAAGGCTCGCTGCCTTTTGGCGCTGCACCTGCAATCAAGACGCCCGGGCTCAGCATGACCTTTGTGGTCGCCTGGCAACAGGTGCAATGAGCATCTGAGCGATGGAAACAGAATAGAAAGCCAAAGCAGTCTGCTTTGTCAATTGCTTCAGTCAATAATTCGTGCCGTGGCTTTGCCGCCGAGCATCCAAACTTTGATGACGCCGTCTGCGGCTGCAGTCACCTGCAGATGGATCAAATGGGGGAAAAGGACTGAATCAAGACTCCACTGTGATTCGGAATCTCACTCGCAGCACTTGACGAGAGACAAGCGGCCAGAGTATCTTCGTGGAATGCGAGGCAGAGCAGGGCAGCCTGAAGAAGAACTCTCGGCTCTCGGTGCCAGACCGTCAAGAGACGAGCCGAGTGGTGACAGCGTCAGACGCGGAGGCCTCGTGCGACTTGGTCCGACGCAAGGGTGTCGCTTCCACCAACTCCCAGAAGTGGAGAGTGCC